AAACCAAATAACTTTTTCCTACTTTCACTTCAGTTGTTTAAACAGGCTAAGAAAGCCCCCAACAAAACAAAATATGCTGCAGCCTCCATGGGAGGATTCAGGGAAGCCTGTTTTTCCCATGATTAAAATTCTCTTGGCAGTATTTTTCATCAGTTTGTTTCAATATTAAGACAACATAAAATAACACATATGTATTCCTTTCCAACTGTAACTCATTGGTCCAGAAAGAATTTAATCACAGAGAAATCTAAAATTAAAAACCAATCTAATTACTTCATGAAAGCCTTGCCCATTGTCTGTAGGAAGTGCAGCTATCACAATTATTGGAAATAAAATCCTTTTTCAGATGTCTGTATGTGCAGCTTCTTACCATCACTTGTAATTCCACACTCCAGGAATGACTATGCTCTCCTAAATCCTGGTCACTTTGCATCTGAAATTGCTATTTTAATTCCGTAACAAGATCTAGTTTTACATTCCAAGCTAAAGGAAATTATTCATCTACACAGTAAATCCTCCAGCATCCTCAACAGACAACCAGATAAGCACACTGAAAAAAAATACATTAAAAAATAAGGCAGAAGGAAATCTCAGGTCACTTATCCATACATTTGCACACACATACACGTGCAGTCTTCACACTTTCACATTCTGGACATCACCTATAGGAAGTCAAAACACTTCTGCCAGGATTCTGTAAGGACGTTTTAATCACTATCTCGACAAGGTCCTTCCCCACATGCCCAGCTTTCAAGAGCAAAACGTCCGACTGCTCAGTGCCATGTGGCTCAGCACCTCGCTGCAGCAAAGCTTTAAAAATAATCACTAACACATGGAACAGGCAGAAACCAAACCATCTGACATTACAAAACTGAACAAAAATGCACAGAAGTTTGGGGTTTTTTTAGCCCATTGGAACACCTCGACAAGCAGCCTAGAAAAGAACATTTTCCACCAAAAAAAAAAAAGGGGGAGGGAGGATTTTTTTTCCAGGGGGTTGGGCAGGGCACAAACAGAATCTGGTTTGCTCCCTATGGGATCACACGGATTCCAGGCTTATTCAAGCTTCTTCCATGACACAGTGCAGAAAATATGTTTGCTAATATATCATTTGTGGTGCACGTTTGCATCAACCAAACAGGGACATGAAGGCTTCTGGTGGCAGTAAATTAAAAGAGAATTTTTGAGGTTTTTTTTTTTACTCTTTCAAGGTGATTTAAAAACAACAACCCAGTGACTCTTTTGCATAACACAGGTGGGGAACGAGCAGTTTCACATGAAGAAAGCTTCAAAACACTCAACTCTTGCAGAAAGTGTTCAACCCCCTGCCCTCCTCAGCCCCGGGGGCAACTTCTGAGAGGCCACAGAACCTGACCAATAAAGCCCTGCTTCAGAGAATAAGGTTTATTTTTACCATGTTATTTTTGGTCTTATCTTCTACATCACTCCTTTGCAGCTCCCATTACAAATCCCCTGTAAAACGCCTCCAAATACACATTCAAAGTAAAGCTTAGCTGAGCTCCAACGCAACAAACTCCAAACCTTTATGAAATAAAGGCTTTTTAAAATTATTATTTGTGTGGGGTTTTTTTATTTTTAGCGTTTTTGGGGGGGTTGTTTTTTCTTAACTAACAGCAGAGCACCTTTCCTCGTGTCATTGTCCGGGAAAATCATCTCCCTTTAATGAAACTGGGATTTACTTCACACAGCTCTTTGAAAACCACCAGGAATGAAGCCCATACTTCTCCTGTGCCACCTTTCTGCTCATTTTCACAGCACCCTAAGGATGGTGCCACACACAAAAATGCTCCCATGAGCTCGACACCCACGAGTGTTGCCAGGCTCCAAACACTGACCATGGACAAGAGACCCACCTGTCTGAGGAAACCTAACTTGTTTTCCTTTTCCACGCTGTCAGCAGAGACAGACAGGATCACACTTGAGGGACAGAATTCTTCAAGACACACCATTTCAGAAGAATTCAGTGTCATGAAGGCCTTAATAATGTCACAGAGTCAAAAAATTGGCCATTTCCACTTAGAATAATGCAACAGAGCCCTGAGAAATGCTATGGAAATTACAATAATTAATTCCTCTTTGGACAATAACAAACTCTCCTTAGTTGTTCCAGATCAATGCCACTGCAGAAGTGAAAAATGCAGAGGGAAATTGGTAAATAAATCTGGGGATGACACAGCCAGAATTTACAAGCCAGGGAGATGGAGATGCAAAGCAGTTCTGCCTGCTCTGGGTTTTGAACAGTAAACTCTGTTTTGAACAGTTACTCTCAGTAAAACGGGGGTGTGGGTGGATTCTGTTCACCACAGGGTACAAGGGGCTTCCGTATTTACCTTGCTAAATTCAAAGCCTGTTAAAAATGAAACACAAAAGTCAACTTGTGCTTTAAAAGACTTCAAGGCTAGGTGAGGTTTTGCTTTACAACACAAGGTTAAATGTTTATTAATACCTAACTCATGGCTTAGGAATATGTAAAATTCCTTTCCGATCCTTCAAAATGAAATATACTATCCACCAGATTCCATTACTTGCATTATTGCATTTGAATTTACTGTATTAATAAGGAAAAAAAAAAGTGTATTTCCCTTTCCTCCTAGATATCATCTGGTTTTCCATTACCACAACTAGAAATTGCCAAGAAAATGAAATGCTAAAGCACAGCAGATGCTGCTTATCTTCTGATTCAATCTGAGATCTTTGTTGCAGTGGGATCACATTTAGTCCTCTCAAATGCAGAGCAGTATTTCATCCCGTCTCGACATCCCAACAATGACATTTTATAAATATTACAAGTTTCCTGGGCTCCTTTCTACCTGTTCTGCAAAGAGCAAAGAAGCACTAGAAGACAGATTTTTCTTCCTGCTTAGGAATTTTTTTTTTTAAACCTCAGATGTAACCAGGCCAACACTGAATCTTCTCTAGGGGTTTTTTGAGGCCTCTGGAAGTCTCACCCTTTTTTTGTTAAGCTGCAGTAACTGTGAAAATCTTTGATCAAGGGTTGTCTTTACCTAAGTGCTAAGATCTCATTGAGAAAGAGGTGTTGGAAATAAACAAGCCTTTAAAGCAGCCTAAAAGTCCTCTCAAATATTCTAAAGGTGCCTCTCTCTCCACCTGCTCTTCAGCCACAACAGGGCCTGGATTTCTAAATCCAGGAGGAGAAAACAATCATTAAAAAAAATAAATAAAAATCTTTCCAAGGTTCTTTAGACATCAGAAGGGTGGGGCAATAAGGAGAAACTAATGTCCTCATCTTCACTTCTGCACGCTCTCCCCAGTGTCAGCCCATTAAACCCTTCCAGAAGGTCCAATGTTCAAGCATGTAAGATTTTATCAGAGTAATCACCTTGATTAGAAAGTTACCAGTGGTAAAATTCCATTCATAACGATAATCAAACACTAAGTATTTATTATACTGATATACTTATTTACTTAATTATTATCTTCAGTTTTGGAGAAGAACTGGTATGCAAAGGAAATGTTTCCAGCTCTGGAAACCCTTCAGAGCAGAACACTTCAAACAGAGCATTAAACATTTAACAGGTGCAATGGCAGCTTCTTGGTTTCCACTCTTAGGCTAAATTTACTCTTAAAAAACTAAATATCTGAGAAGCATTTCAACATTAATTTTCCAATTACTAAAAGAAATTCAATTATCAACTCCAGTAGTCTTGTATTTTTTCCTATCTGTAGTTTATAAAGCCACACAGATACAGAATTACTGCAGCCATTACAGAACCCAGGAGATGGGTATAGAGCTACAAAAAGCATACTAAGATTTGTTGTTTTTTCTCATTTTTTCCAATTAGACAATTTTTGCTGTGAGGCCACGGGGCAGGGCGGGGGGGGGAAGAATGGAAAGGCAACGTATCAACCTTTTTGTTAGCGGCGACAGGGAACGAGAGGGATCTGGACAATAATACTCCTCATTTCCCAAAGTATTTTAAAATGTGTCCTGTTAAGCAGTTGACCTTCAAATTTGCTCATTCCCTCACTTAAGCAAATAAAATATTTACCCACTCCCCAGTAACAAAGGCAGCAGCCCGGCCTCGTGTCCCTACATCCCCTCTTTGCCCACAGACACCATGCAGATCCACCATGGAAAATAATTAACGGCGGCAACAGCATTCCCCTCGGATCTGTTCCGTGCCAACTCGGCCTTTTTACACTTCACACTGTTTTACTTCTACATCAGTGAGTAACACTTTGCCACAAAACACCTTCTATTTTCACAGCCCAGACTCACAACCCCTCGGAAAACCACTTGCGATGAGACGGGATGGGACGGGCGACAACCCACAGCGACCTTACCTGTCGCTGCTGGTACTGCTGCTGCTGCTGATGGAGTCGCTGCTGGAAGATCTGCTCCTGGATCCACTGCCACTGGGGGAACGGGTGGGTCTGGCTGCCTGGCTGGCCAGCCTCTGCGGGGACTGGGTCCTGGACTGGGACGAATGCGGCGACCGACTCCTGCTGTGCTGGTAATTCCTCTCCGGCCTTCTGCCTCGTACCTCCCGTGTAAGATCATCCCTGTAGATATCCCTGTGTACCACACTGGGCAATGTAAACTGCTCCCGGGCCCTAGGTTCGTAACGGGGGTCGTGAGCATCAAAACGGTTTGGACTTCGACTCCGAGAAGTGTAATAGAGCCCGTGTTGTAAGGTCCGCTCTCGAGGGTCTCTATAGTAATCCTGATCGTAATGTCTCGTCCGATCAAATCCTCCCGTCCCCCGCTCATGGTGTCCATAGGCACTATGTTCATAAGCACGCTCCCTGTTATCTGAAGCCCTGCATTTAGGAAGGGGGGAAAAATACTTCATCAGAAAGGGGCAGGCACAACTAAAAGCAAATCATGCAAAACATTCATGTCAGCACTGAACTTAAAAATGTTGCGACTGCTTCTCCGCTAACCAGCAATGACCTGTCAAGCACTGACAAACTTAAGAACGTTTTACTTGACTCCAAAGTTATACTTCATATGAAGCTGAGCAATCATTTTGTTTTAATCACAGTATTGGGCTTTCATGACCAGCATCTTGCCTGCCCAGGAAAAAAAACGGTAACACTGCTTTTCAGTGTAGAATCCTCATTTAAGTTGCAATTATTTCTTTTAAATTCAGTACACAAGGAAAACTTCATGTTTGTGAACATCACAATTAAGTCGTGTGTTCCCCCTTCCGTTTTTGCTTAAGAGCTTCAGCCATTTTTCTGGAATTTGGTAATTACTGGAGCTCTTCTAATTGTCGTTCTGCAAAAATGGCATTGCAAATTGGGCTGTGGCCATGAAAGCCTCTGTGCAAAGCATGAGCCAGAGGTAAGAAGCTGCTTTCAAAAGGGGTAACGTACATAACTCAGAGAGAAGACCCAGAAAATGAGGGGTTTTCTTGTTGCTGTTCTAAAATACTTCATTCTCTTAGAGGGACTCTGGCTTTATCAGACTGCTACACTCCTCTCATCAAAGCTGCTAAAGAAACATCTCCATGAGTAACATCATAATACTTCAATTGCTAGGATGCAGGTCCCCAAAAGACATTAAGACCATATGTAAGGACTGCGAATGAAATTTTTCAGTGGGTGTTTTTGTTTGCTGAGACTGCTGCTGTGGCTGCAATCACAGAATTCCTGTCTTCACAAGGACACTGCTTTCAAGAAGCTAAGGGCCATTTTGTGCCAGTGTTTCCTGCATGTCAATTGAGAAGGGCTCTACGTCCGAAGACAGAGTGTGATCTCTCAAATAAAGAGACTGTAAAACTGACAGATAAAGCTAACAGAACATTACTAATAGTTTAGTGGTCTAATTTAGACAAGTACCAGGACAGTACCTCTAAATTATGTCTGGAAAATGAAGGATCAAGAACAATTATGTTGAATGTTTAAAAAATACTTGCAAAATTCTAAGTATGTCAGTGTAGCCAAAGTTAATTTAAAAATTTAATTATCCATCTTATGAAGGGCATCTCAACCTTTTTTTTTTTTTTTACCAGCCTTCTTTCTTGAATTCTTCCTTCAGAATCAATTATTAGTCACTTCAATCTCCTGAATCCTAATAACCCAATTCTGCCCTGTGCTTCCTCCTCCTCTCCTGAATCGTGGGTCTCAGTTTCCATTTAAAATGGCAGAAATATTTCAGGTACCTTTTATACACTGAAAATGGAACTTGAATCTTTTTTCAATTAGCATCTAGGGAAGTTCCTTCCATTCATTCTCCAATGAATCACTAGAGCCGTAATCCTCTAAATATATTCATCCTCTGTTGTTACATTATAACTCATTTTAGCTTTCTACAGCCCTTGCTCATGTTTTGCCTGCATTTCTTCCTCTCCAATTCTATACAGGAAACTATCTAACCAGTGCAACATTAATTTATACATCCCCTTGAAATTCCTTGCTGCTTTTCTATTTCCAGTATCTCTTGCTTGCAACAATGGCATTTAGAAAGATAATTCGGTATCTTTTTTTATGTCCCCCTTTTGAAGGTCCAAGATCAACAATTTTATCAACGTTTGCATTTAGCATCCTACAAAGTGTTAATCAGTGAAAGTTGATTTAATGAGGGAAGAGAAAAAGCAGTATTTTCTAGAGGGTTACTGCTATATAGCTGACATAAAAGAACAAAGTCCTTATCCATGAAAAGGACACAGAAGACAGACAGAGGAGCTAGCAGAGCTGAAAATCTAATGGCTACAAGTGCTTTTTTGATTATCTATTAGTACTAAGTACTACTGGAGTTAGTGGAAAGAGAGGGTTTGACTTGGGTTAGGAGAGGGGCTAATATACACAGGGCAGGACATACCAACCTTTTCCAAGTGTGGAAACACGACCTATATTCCCAATTAAATCTAGGGAGAGAATTGTGAACATAACTTCCCCAATTTTGGCCCCTCTTACAGGGGTAATCCACCTTCTTAATGGGCAAGGGTGTCAAATGATATTTTGGATGAACCAACAAGAAAAAAAAAATTAAAAAATCTTAGTGACAAGACAAAAAAAATAAAAAAGAAAAAAATTCCGCTGGAAGGAAGCAGTCCCAGACTGAAAGATAACTCTGAAACCCCCAGACTTCTTTCTTGAGACAGTAGGCACTTAAATAGATCCATTATTTTAATTTCCAGCCCTATGTCTGAATCAAGCAGCTGGTAGAAGATGAGCCAATGCAGGAGGGCCCTGCTAGCCAGCAGGCACCTCTAGCCGCCTTTGTAACCATCCAGCCCAGTCACTGCTCACTGGTGTATCCACAGACTGGTATTAGCCACGTCCTTAAAACTAAAGTATGTTTAATATGGAGTAGCAAAGAGCTTTTTTAAGAGACTAGATAGTAATCCACTCCCCATGGCTACTGGCGTCTTGACTGTATACCATCCAATAAATTCAAGGCAGTAGTTCTTATCCCAGCATTAAAAAACACACTATAATTTCCAAAATTTAGTCATGTCCATCATCTCTCTTTGCCAACACCATCAGAAAGAATAATCCCAATAACTTGGAAATGATGTAGATCCAAAATGGAAACATCACAAGCTGCCTTCGGTCTTCTCCATCCAAGCGTTATTTCCATGGCTAAGTGTTGTCTGTAGAATCCAAGGGGCTGCATCATTAAAGTCTACTAGAAATTTTGTGGTGACAATCCAATTAACATACCAACTGTGTATAGTGAGAACTGAGAACTAGGCATCAAGCTTTCACAGAATTTTAGGTTCTAGTATTCCGAAGATACTCCACAGAGAACTTCACCACATGTTGTAGAGTAAGATAGCTCCATCTGGCAGCAGGGATACATCCGAGCAAGGCCTTAATATTATCCAAGAAATGGAATCATTACTTCTAGACAAGAGTAACTCCAATATCGATGCTGGCAAAAGGAAATCTTCCATCTTAACACCACCTTATTTCAAGTGTAGATATCCAACCAGCTGCAGAAAACATCCTCTATGGATCCACAAGGTACCAGCCACTGGGACAGAAATCACTTCCGTTTCCAACCCAAAATAGGAAACATAGATAATTCCCAAAATTTGAAATCCATCTGGGGGCCCTAGATACGAGTTTGTGTTTCTCACCATATCAAATACAAAATACCTGCCTAGAGAAACCTTGGAACTTACCCATCAAGTCTCCGCTCATAACGTCCTTCCCGTGCATGAAGCGATGGGGGGGGGCCGTAAGTGGGCCCCCCACCACCTCCTCTGAACCCAGAAACCTCTCTACTACGAGATGCTATGGAAACTGTATCATCCAATCCCCGAGCAGCACTGGGAATGGTTCCTGGTTCATTATAATCCGTCCGTAGGTCTCTATCTCCCATTTTGTTGACAGAGTTGTGTGCCTTCTGCGCACTTTTGATGTCCACAAAATCCACAAACGCTGCCACTCCGCCTTCCGACCCCCTCTTGGGGAGTATTTTGACACTTTCGACACGCCCATATCTGGAAGAAAAGCAAAGCAAAGTACATATATTAGTGCTGGGAGGAAAAGTCTGCATTTAATAACATTGCCTCCTGCAAAATCAACACCAGCTTTAAACCCTTCACCCTGCCCATACAGCAGGAAAATCAATCTCAAAGCACGGCAGGGGTTGGAAGATGTGTTTTCAAACAGAGGGAAAAAGCCATTTGTAGAGGGGGAAAAAGCCATTTAAACTTTTCCATCATCATATTTAAAACTCCTCCCTTCTGGTTAGCCCATCATGAGACACCCTTTTTATAACAATGGAGCAACTGCAGCTGAAGAAATAGAAAGGTATTTGCAATTAGAGCAGCCTTCTCATTTTTAATCTGACGAGCATACACATAATTAAAACAAAACTGTGTCACAACAAGTCAAAACAAAGACACCCCAACAATACAAAAAGCTCGACCCTGGCACAGCAATTCCACCACTCTGGTGGCATTTAATCCATTCAGCACTAAAACAAGAGTCTTCATTCTCATCCTTGTTCCTGATCTCAAACCTGTTTCCCTACCATAGCCTCATGAGATGCTCTGGAAGCACAGCAGACATAAGCACCCCCAGACCAGGGGGGGCTTTTGGGGTTCAACTTTACACCCCCCATCACCACAGACCAAGCTGCACAACCAGCAGGCTACGGGAGGGCAAGGCCACCACACTTCATTGTGTGAAGTAATTGCAACACAGGCACTTAGCCCATCACCACAGACCAAGCTGCACAACCAGCAGGCTACGGGAGGGCAAGGCCACCACACTTCATTGTGTGAAGTAATTGCAACACAGGCACTTAGGGGGTGAGTAGATGTCTCAATAAAAAAAAAAACAAAAACAAACAAACAACAAAAAAACCCCACAAACAAACAAAAATTACACGTTTGTACAGACAAGAAACACCAGGTAAACATGCTTTTAAATACCCTGCATCAACTTAAAATGGGAAATATGAACAAGCAACGTTTTAAAACAGCAGTTCTGGTTGCTTGTTTCTCTCAGCCAAGAGATTTTAACCAAAACAAGTAAGGGCTTTTAACTGCAGTTGTTAATCCATAACAAAAAGAGGCAAAAAGCTTATTTTTAAATTGCTGAGAAACAGGAGAGGGACACAAATTAAAAAAACATAATAAAGTATTTACAAACTCGATGAAGAATCATTGCAAAAAAAAATCTATTCCCAAAGGCAGCAAAGTGCTGAGCAGATGTAAACAGATCTGAGACAAGAAAAGCTGTTTTCAGCTGTATATCCAGGAACAAGCAAATGCAACTAGCTGTCTGAGGAGCAAGGGCTGTCAGCACCTGCGGGTGTGTGCGTGGCTGTCCATGCACCTTCCAATCCCCTCATTGTTGTTGGGTGACTAATCCCTAAATACGATTTTAAAACCTGCCTCGCTGACTGCTGGTTCCTCATTCCAACCTGACCTACTATACTTTATGTATAATCTGGCTTGGACTTAGATCCCATTTTCCTCTGGGTTATGCTCCACTGAATATGGCACACTATCCATTAAGGAACACATGCAAACAAGAGCATCGTTCAAGTCAAAATGCACCTTGTTAGGCATAAAAAGGCAAGGCTGCCTGTGGGACACGTTCTTGCCTCTCTCTTGCCACCTTTGTACTCATGTACAACACAGTGACATTTAATTCTCAGGAGTTTCCCAACCTGTGATACCAAACTGATGCACTGGTTGGTTATTTTTTACTCTAATTAAAAGCTGCAAGGAGCAAATAGTGATGAATGGTACTGCAGAAAAGGTACTTCTCAGTGTTTGCAGCCTGCTGAAGCTGGGTATGGTTCTCTTGCCTTGAAGGCAAGATTCAGAAAGACCAGAAAAGTAGAAGACATAATTAATAAAATCTATGTGAGGCAAACCACAGCCTAATTGGATGTGGCACATGTAAAGAGAGAAGAAACAGGAAAGGAAGAAGAGGGAAGGAAAACAGGAAGGAGCCTATTTTAAAAAATATTCATACTGTGAATGAACATGACAAAAACTATGAAAAATAATTAGGTATCATAGTTAGCATCACCTGCTAAAATGTGTATCAGCAAAGGAAAGATGTAACAGGACAGAGAGAGTTCCAGCTCTCATACCTATTGAATTTTTCTTCTAAATACAGAAGTGACTGGCTAGAACACATACTTTTCTTTTGCTCATAGCACATTCAGTTTCTTGCAACATGAGCCCCTACTTCGTCTACAGTCTTCAGAAGGGAAGGAAATAATATCTCAGTACTACTCAAAAAAACCCAAATCCTAACTGTCTCTCTCCCTGCAGTTCCCACAGCCCACGTTGTACAAAGTGCTGCCTGCCAGTTCCATCAGAAATGGGCTCGGAGACTCTTTCTGCTCACCATCCTGACAATTATTTCCTCATTCTGAAATGGGAGCACACGTGTTGTAACATACACACAGACAGACCTCCATGACTTCTCTTTTGCTGCAGAAGATCCAGAATGTGTTCAAATGCTCAAATATTCAAGTTAATGCTGCCCAGAAAGTGCAGATGATACAGAACATCAATGTAATAAGCTCCCCATCCACCAACAAAATCACCCAGCAAACACCCAACTCTTGCAGCCAGAGCTTAAGAGTGTACTTTGGTTGTCACTAATTTAAAAACTATTTAGTAGATTTTTTTCTAAATCAGAAATGGATGGGAAGGCCACTACTGTATTCCACTGCAGCCACGGCCCTAGATCACCTCACTGGGAGACGGCGCACTTTAATCTGTCTGTTATCCAGATACATAAATAAATATACACCCAACCCTGGTGTCCTGCACTGTACCCTTGACAAACCCAGAGGATAATCTGTGGCAATCGCCTTTGCTGAAAGCGAGGGAGGCAGACGTTGGGGAGGAGAAAGGGAGCAGAAGGGGCAGGGGGGCATGAAAGAAAACTGAGGAGAGAGCCCTGAGTATCCAAGGACAGCTGCTGGGAGAGGAAGGTTTGCGTTTTCCATGCCCCAACGCAGTCCTGTGATTACACACATCCCCTGGTCCCCCACCGTGAAGATTAATCTGTCTGGTGAGCCGACCCAACCCCACCCGTTGGCGTCTCTCCGAGCTGCTCCTGTCTTGGCAGATGCTGCCAAGAGGAGGAGGACCGCACCGAGGGGAGAGGAGGGGAGATCTGCAGTGCTGCATCACCAGACGAGTTTACTGCAGCAGAATAATATACGACAAGGAAAAAAAAAAAACCAACAACCCCAAAACGATGCTTTCCGGAGGTCTGGGGAAGGAGGCAGCGGTAATGCCGTGTTTGGAGACACTGATCACACACTGAGTCAAGATGGAGGCCAACGTGCTCCAAGGAGCAACCTTTGTCTAGATCTTCCCAAGGAAGGGGGGACAAAAGACAAGAGGAGGCACTGCCGTGACCTTTGTAAGGTTCACAGAGCAGCTCTTCGCAACCTGCCCTCCTCTCCGTGTCCCCGTGCCTCAGCCCTTCCCAAGAAGGCTGCATTTCGCAACTGCTGCCAGACCCAACAGACAACAAAGAGCCTGGCTCTCTCCGCTCCCAACCCCGAATGAAAACAAGGCTTTTTAGTGCTTCTTCCCGCCCGCAACTCATGCTGATTAATCATTAGCCCTGTGCTGCAAGGAAGGCGACCCAGACCAAGTTTTCCGAGGGTTTACAGCTCCACCAGATGCAGCAGAGAGGCGGACGTGCGAGGGTTGTTCTCTCACCAAGCCCCTCTGCCAGCCCCGGCTGTGTGCACAGACCTAGCGGCCCTTCCAGGAAAATAAAGTTGCTCAGTAATCAGTGCTCAAACAAAGCCACAGTAATCCAGCTTCTCAGACAAAGGAAGGGAATTCATAATTTAAGCACTATTGGTTTATTCACTGTAGATCAAAGCACCTCTATCATCAAGCAGCTGAAACGTCTCTGGGCTCTCAGCGTGGCTGCTCCGTGCGTTTCTCCTGCTCTCCAGCCCTTCCTCCTCCCCAGCCATTCCTCTCATTCCAGGCTGGGAAATGTCTCTGTCAATGCAGGGCTGGGCTGGTTCCTCCTCCTCAGACACAACCAAAGTCATCCTTCATCCCACGACTTTCCCTGCATGGGGTATCTGCACTCCGGGCACCCTAGTCTTCCCATTTCACATTAACTATTTCATCTCAGGTGCTGAGTTCAAACATTCATTTGTCTGCACAGCCTCTGCTATTCCCAAGCAAAAAAAATCTTAAACAAAGGATGGACTACCAGAAAGCAGGCCAACAAATGTTTAATAAACAAATGCTGCAACATTTTATAAACTGATGAGGGTCTTTACAGGATGATAAAAACAAGACAAGAAAAGGTAGGTGGTTATCTGGGAGATTTGTTGCTTTAATTTAAACTGAATCCCACTTTGAATCTTATTAACTCCTTCCGTCTCATGTTGATCTTCCACCAAGCTTATGAAGACCTTTTATACCCAACCATTTTCATTACAGCAGCATTTTGCAGGTCAGATACATCCAGATCTATTAAAACTGCACCATATTTTTATTTGGAAGCCGTCACAACGTTGCACTCCAGATACTGAGACAGTCAGATCAAAAACACCTCCAGAGATTCTGTGCTTGTTTCTGCACCCCTCATTAAGAGCATGATTTGCCAAGACACCCTGATACAGCAGGATATCTGAATATTTTGGATTCACTTTGACTGAAGCCAGGTATCTTCAGCCAGCTGAAAAGCAGGGATGACTTTCTGTGCCATGCTGGAAGTCCTTCCTCCTCCATTACATAAGCCAGGCAAGCCCCAGCCTGCATTATTCAGTAAAACGCTCGCACAGCTTGAAGTCTTTCTCGGCCAATCACATTCCTCTTGCTTTGTTGTTATTTCATAACAAAATAATGTGACCTGAAATAATACTTCTCCAGATGTCTGCCTCTCTTTTCCTCATTCTTAACTCCCCATCAGACCAATACCCCACACTACGGGCTACTCCGGTCCTGTGTCTCCCCCTGCACAAAGCAGATCGGCTCCAGAT